AAACTCTTATATACATTGCCTAATTAAAACAGATAAACTGCCAAGATCTTTTAAAATATGAAAATTTAGCAGGTCCCTAAAACCTTCCAATTTTTTGAACTTATAAAGAATCGGGATATTCAGATTTAACTTTAGGCCAGGTTTTGAAGTCGATAATTTTTTTTTGACAAAATCAAGTAATAATTATAATTGATTTTTAATTTAAAAATCGAGCTTGATTTGTAAATAAAAATTTAAATCGATTTTTGATGTTGATTTATTCGATAAAAAGTAATTATCACTCACTGAGTGATACGTTATTACACAAATAATAATGTGAGAAGGAGTTAATCGGGAGGCGCGGTCAAATAAATACTAAATTAAAATATAGTAATTATTTAATTTTTGCCGACGTTTCGACCCACTTTGCAGGTCGTTTTCAGAGCTACAAAACATACAAAACATGGTGAAAATAAAAAAATTAATATAAGTAGATAAAATAATCTTCTTATTTTATATCTACTTATACTCATTTTTTTATTTTCACCATGTTTTGTAGACCTGAAGACGACCTGCAAAGTGGGTCGAAACGTCTGCAAAAATTAAATAATTACTATATTTTAATTTAGTATTTATTTGACCGCACCCCCCGATTAACTCCTCTTATTATATCAACGGTCAACCATCTCTACATCATTATAAATAATAATGATTAAACTGTGATCAAAAACATTTTAGTCAGAAAATAAATATCAACTTTTACGCACAAATTATATTAAATATTAACATGCACGTATATGTTATTAATGTACACATTTTTTAATATTATATTTCTGAAATAGGTTAAATTGTGAACGCGTTACCTGCACTATATATGTGTATACATTTATATATTATTTTTTTGTAAGCTTAAATTTCGGAAATAAAGATGTTCTGTTGCTCATAGTTGACAATAATATTCTCCATCTACTACTCCAGTTTCAAAATATTTCATAGATATTAGAACAATATTATATTTATGATTTTAAATAAGTATTACTTAAGAATTATTATTATTGTTAATTGTAAAAAAATTGATCAAAAATGATGATGAGGATGTGTAATATATGAAAAAAAATGCAACAGTATGCTACATGTTTTTTACATTTATAATTATTTTTTTCTTATTCCACAATCTTTAAAGTAGTTTTAAAAACATTAATTCATACGAAATATCGTAATCTATATTAGTTTAGTTAACATCCATATCTATTCCGAAAGAATAAATCAGCTGAATTAAAGAATGGCTGCCGCCATGTTAGTTGTATAAATTATTATAAACCTTTATTATTTTTTTAAACGTCGCATCGACTGCCAGGATCATTATATTTATTATTATATTATATATGTTTGTACTATTATTCATAAAAATGATTTTCAAAGATAAATGGTTCAAAAAATAAACTTTTGGTAATATTATAGGATCGAAAAAAAAAATCGATTTATACAAACATATTAAACTTATTTTTTATTTGAACGACATTGCTTTAGATAGCTACATACTTGTGCATTACATTAGATCTAATTACAAAAATACAGAGATCAGCTTTTAAAATTGATAATTTCTATAATTTGTGGAAAAATATATTGAGAATCATTTGAAACATTGATTATTTAAAAAAAATCAAACAATGAACACTTATTGCTCACTCAACAAATACATTAACATTTTTGTTTCTTTGTATTGGTTACATATAAAAAAGTATTTTATATATTTTAAAAATATTTACTGTAATATAATAGACAATATTTTTAGAAAGAGTGGTCCCACAGGTACATATCTAATTTAAGCTCAGGTGAAGAAAATAGGTGAGAGATTCTTAGAAAAACCAACACCAATTTAAAAAAAAGTGCTGACATTAACAACAAATATATCAAAAACTTATGGTTCTAATTCTCTTAAATTAAAAAAAAAATATTAATTTATTGTAATATCAATATACTTATATTTAGAAAAATACTTAAAAACATACAGATTTTTGAAGCTTAAGTTTATTAGCTCCAACATGGCGGTTTCATTTGCTAATCTCTATAACTGATGTTTCAATGTCTTTCAGACTTCAACTTTACTTTTCGTTTCTCCTAAATTGGAAAACCCTTATCTCTTCTCTATTCTATCTTTCATACGATTTAAAGCTGGTTTTACACGTTTGCCAAACTCTTCAAACACAAACACGGACACTAGTTCTTAAAGTGTAAGTAGTTTAGTTTATTCATCAGCGGAGGGAACTCAATCTAGTCAGAATGAAGAGCCCTGTTTCCCTCAGAAGTTTGGCCCTGTATCTCGTAGATGGTCTACGCTGCTACTTCATCAATTTTTAATTAAAAAATCGCTTGTCATTATAATTATAAGTGATCATAAAGCACCCAATACTCATAATTTATACTGTTTCAATTTCAGAATAATTTTCTGGGATTTAAAAGGAAAGTTAAATTATTGTTGTAATGAATATTTATTATTTAATTGCTTTCGACAGATCTTTCATTATTCGATCTTCGTTTTCGAGGAATACCATATCTTTCTACAAACATCACTCCTATAACCCTACCCAACTTTAAATCCCGCATATCCACTCAGTTTCTAAAAAATTGTATATAGGTGCTTCTGTAATATAAAAAAAATATTGTTTTAGAAGCTTAACTAAAATTGTTTCTATTGGTTTATTATTGTTGTAATTATGTTATTGTAATTAAAATAAATTTTACTTTTAGAATTACTTCTAAAAGGAGTAGTCTCGGAATAAATAAAGAACATTATTTTTATTCATCATTCGGTAGTCATAAATTTATTATTTGAATATAAAAACATTAATGAATGAAATACAGTTGAAAATTGTAAATGAACTTGGAAAAAATAACTTTAGTGAAATGAGTTTTATTTCATAACATATAAACTTTTTAAATGACCAGTTTTAAAAATATTACCCAAATATAGATGGTATCAGTTAGTTTCTTAATTATTGATAGTCCTAGATATTAAACTATATAATACGAAAAAATACAGAGAATCATGATTTATTTCTGAAGTATAAAAATTGCTTTTACTTAAATAAATTAAAACTACGAAAACTTAGTTTATATGCTGCCATGTTGGAGTTCATTAACGAAAGCTTTATTCTTAATTTAATAGTTTCAAAAATAAATGTAAAAATAATTTTAAAAACATAAGATTCATTATATAAAAGTAGAACTAAGGGAAAACAAACAAAATTATAACCTTCCGGAGGGAATATATTTATAAGACAAATTAAAAAACAACATTAATTTTGTACTTTCACCGAAAGACTCGAATATTTTATTAATACACACATACAAATGAAGTCTTGATATTACTATCTTGTTTTTTTACTATTCAGTCTTATTCGACAGTATTTCACAAAAGTAAAATAATCGTAAAAGTAAATACTCTAGTAAATGGAAAATTTTTAAGAGATCCAAATCTCCTTTAATTTATCAATTACATGTTTGGCAAAAATGGCAGTGTTTTTTTAATTTCACCTCTGTCGATTCTTTCTTTTAAAACGATTATATATATCAAAATGGTTGAGGAAAAAAAAAAAAGAAAAAATACTAACAATAGATTTCCGGCCCGATTGGGTCCACTAATTTCCTGGGACCAGGTTTGTAAAACTATGCCATTGGCTTATCTTTCGTTTGCGGAAATCAATTCTCAACGAAAATCAGACTTTTTCATTGGCGGAACGAATTTCCTCCGGAAGGAATGTAACGGAAGGAGTTTAATCGAACGCGAATTATTTAACGCCGTAACTGAACGAACAAAGATTTTTTTTTTAAATCCTGGTTCTGTAAAGAATGAAAAATAAAATTCTAGGATCCAAGAAAACAATGAAACGATTTATAAAAATGTGTTAAATTTCACTTATACTAGGGTAGACATACCTGTCGTGAACATTTAAGGACTTAATTTTATATAGAACAACGAACATTAAAAAAAAATGAATAATTATATTTCCGCATTATTTGATAAAATCAAATCAGTAGACCCTATATGAGAATTGAGCTAATTATGTATTAATAAACGTGGTTCTATTTTTTGTCAAATTTGTTTTAATTTATAATTCCGATGTTATTTTATCTAAATCATTATGCCATTAGTTAGTTAAATATTTTAAGTAATCATTTTAGATTTTTATATAACCATCAAAGTATTATTTGATCAATGTGTTCGATGATAATTTTGGGCTTCTTATACTGAATTCTGCAATTCAGTTTTTTATAAACATATCAAAGAATGTGTGTGTTTTGATATTTTTTTTTATCATTTTGAATTCCGTATTGTATTTTTTAAATTTAACTTTTCTTAAAAAATCTGCCTTGTTGAGCAATTTACTCGACTTTTTTCTACGTTTTAGAACATGTGTTCTCAAAAAAATTTGTTGTAAAATCAAATGTAATTAAAACTTTTTTTCTTAATATTTGAAGAAATTGATATCAAAATGCATTTTGTCCTTTTTTCTGACTAAATTCGTTAGCTAAAGATATTCTAAATTATTCTTGGGAGGGAATTTTAACTCTGAAATGTTTTGGATATTCACTCCAAAACGGATTCTTATAAATTTATAAAAATGGACTAAATACATTTTAATTTGAATCCTACTGTGTAATATTTTTCCCCCTAAACTGACCATTATTAATACGTTTATTATTTTTTAATAAAAAATATTTATTAGTTTAATTGAAAAAAAAAATGAGGCTGTATTTATAAGTATATATGTTTCGATTTAAATTAAAATTAAACATTTCAGAATGACTTTTAACATTCCTACTTAATTACATGTTTAAAAGATATAATTAGAAACAAATTTTCAAGTATCAAAACTTGAAGATATTTAAAATAGTTTTTCCTTCAAGATAGAAGTTATGTGTTAGCAAATTTTCAAAACCATGAGGTCTCTTTTTGAGTAATAATTAAATGACTTTGCAAAGAGGTTATAATTTTTAAAAATATATTGAAAAGGATCTTAAGTTAGATATAGAGTATTTTGACAATGGTCTAACACATGACATCTATTCAGGAACGAGTCGTTCACATTTGGAGCAGTTGTAGCTCCAGAGTGGAATCCTAGATCTCGATGTTGGGGACGAGGATCCTGCCGAAGTAGCGGAAGTCCGGCCTGCTGAGGGTGTAGAAGACCATGATGACCGCAGCTACCAGTACCAGTCCGAGGCTGTTGATGATGATGCCTTCTTCCGGCAGTGTCTGGTACTCCACGCTGCAAACCATAACCGTCACCCTCGTGCGTCATTACTACACTACATCCCCCTACACCTCTCTTCTACATCTAACCATAAATAGTGTGCAAGGGGTTCGTAGGTTCATGGATGATACGGATAGTGCAATTCATAGTAATCAAAATATACTTTATACCAAATACACCCCCCTCCAAAAAAAAAAAAAAAAAAAAAAAAAAAAAAAAAAAAAAAAAAAAAAAAAAAAAAAAAAATAAAAAAAAAAAATAGTATAAATATACCGTAATAGATTGTAGAGATATAAAATCAATTAAAATCCAGTAAATTTCTAGGCAGAAATCATTAAACCAAATCGAAGATTTGTTTTTATTCAATAACTTTATTAAATAAAGTAAAAAGTCTATGAAAATTGAGAATAACAAAAAAATGATTATAGTTGTAATAATAATAATAGCCAGTGTTCGCTAGTGCTCGAAATTCGACCATAGCCATTAAACATTTGAGGAAAGCATACTTAAATTAAAAATAAATTCAATAAATAAAGAGTAAATCACGGTTAAAAAATAGAACATTGTATTATAGAAGACTTATTGTAATTTAAAAGAAAGTAGGCTGTATTTTGAAACATTTACAACTACTAATAATATAAAATAAAAAAAGAAGTAGGACTAAACAATGCTCCGAACAACACAATCCCAGAAGAAATTAGATATAGGTATCATGAAATTGTCAATAAATTATTCCATAATCATGGCATAATTTTTACGGACGATTCTATATCAGAGAAAGGTGCAGGATGCTGTATCGTAACCCAAAACAATATAAACAAATGGAAATTAGCCGATCAGAGAGCAAAGGAAGCCGCCAGAAACACAGATTCACCTGTTTTAGGATCAATATTTCTCAACAAATGGACAAGAGAAATTTCAAAGAAAGTTAACGACAATTGGAATGCACAGTGGATATTACTGCCACTCAATCACCTTCATCTTACCAAAGACGAAAATCGAGGTTGGTATCCTCCAAAACACCTGACATCAAAAGAATGTTCTATAATAAGTCTTCTAAGTTCTATAATAAGTCATTTATTAATATAAACAAAATTTCAATTAAGAATCTAGCCTAAATTACCTAAAATTATTTATAAGTAATACAAAATAGACTCATTCAAAATATTTAATTTCCATTTGTATTTATGTGTGATATTATCACAATAAATTAATGTTACGATTAATTTAAAAAAAAAATTTAAATTAGCAATTTCAACTGAGTTCAAATCCATTTTTATGCAGAACTTCTCTGAAAAAAATATTCTTTTTTAATGTTGTGTTATTGTTGCCTTGACCATTGCCATTGGAAATATAAATTTCAAAATTTTAATTTTAACTTGCTGCTACATATAATTGTCCATGCGTGATTATGCAGACGTCGCAATAATACAGAAACTTTTCTAAAAGTTTGACCCTGGTATTTGATTATGGTCATGTTCTTTGAAATTCGAATGGAAGTATTGTGTCAGAAAATGTTAAATTAATTCTTGGAATCAAAATTCTTTTATTTAAAATAGCTCACGTCAGTACTTAACTCTCATTCGTGTTCCATTAACTAATGCTTGTGCAGTATTTAAGTTAAGAATGAGTATAACTATAAACTTTGTTTTATGAGGTTAAATTCCATGATATCTTTTCAAATAATATTCAATTCATTAAATTTAAAGTTTTCGATTTATTAAAAAACAAAATAGAGGAATTCGACTTTACAAAAGAAAAAGTGCTAAATGTTTGAAATGATATATCTCTGCAACAAATAGTCCAATTTCAATGATTTTTTAATTTATTTTGTAGGGAATACAGGAAGCTTTAAAATAAATATTTTATTGTATAAATAAGTATTATATTGGAAAGTATGTTATATACATAAATTATAAATGTTTCAAGGGGAAAACTTTAGCCAAGTTTCATTAAAATCATTAAAGCCGTATTGGCGCTACAGTCTAAAGGGAATCACGTTTTTCGGCCGCCATTTCGAAAGGAAAGGCTCCGATGATAATGAAATGTATAAAAAAAGACTTTTAAATATTATTGCGACGTTATGTCAAAGTTTTAAAGAAATCGGTGAAGAACTTTCGGTGATTAGCTGCTTTGAACAAACTACCATTTACATATTTATTTACAAACTATTTAATATTTTTATTTATTGATAACACTATAGCTCGTCAATATCTATTAAATAATAAAAGAAGGAAGAAAATCGTTTGAATAATAGAGGAGTAAAATGGACCGTTTTGTATTTGCCTATTTATATAGTGATAATAATATTGAACTTAATTATAGTTATGTCATCAAGCAACTTCAGTTAACTGACTCCTACAAGTATCTTGTTATCTCACAGCTGCTTAAATAAAAAAAATACACCAAAGAAACATTTGAAGAAGAATTTAAGAAACGGGTCAGGATATTTCTAAAAACTAATTTATCGGCAGAAAATTTAATAAAAGCCTTGAATACGTGGGTGATTCCTACTGTTACATATTCCTTTGGAATAATAAAATGGTGGAACACAGATTTGAAAAATATAGACCGCTTATCAAGAACGGCAACGTCACACAAATTCTTCAGTGCCAAGACTATATTTGCCTAGAAAACAAAGAGGTAGAAGATTTATTAGTTTAATGAAGGCCTGACGTGAACAAGAAGCCATGCTTTGAAGCTACTTCATGAATAGTACTTCAACTGTGCTGTCGACCGTTGCTGCTCTTGACTGCAACTATACAGCACTTACAATGGAAGTAATGTATCAGAAAATATTAAATTAATTCTTGGAATTAAAATCCTTTTATTTAAAATAGCTCCCGTCAGAACATCACTCTCATTCGTGTTCTGTTGACTGATGCTTGTGCAGTTTTAAGTTAAGAATGAGTATAACTATAGAATTTATTTTTAACTTTAATTTATGAGGTAACATTCAATGATATCATCTCTTCAAATAATATTCACTTCATTAAATTTAAAGTTTTATGTTAACGTTTTTAAAGTTCGTTAACATTCATTTATTTATTTTCTTTATCTGTTAACCCACAGTTATCTAATGTAATCTCTATGAGTTTGTTATACACTTATTCCTTATCTTTTATCGCAATCTGTTTACTTTTAACTTACATACTATATTCTCCCTTATTTTTATTTTTATTCCTACTTATTTTCCATTTATTTGTATCTTCTACATATATAATTCTTAATATTTAACTACATTGTCACCCACTATATCTCTGATACCATCTTTTATTTCTATATCTGACAACTTCTTCGTATTTTATATATACTTATATTTATTTTTTTATTTTCAACAGGTTTTGTATCTTTTGTAGTCCTGAAGACGACCTGCAAAGTGGGTCGAAACGTCGGCAAAAATTAAAATAATTTATATATTTTAATTTTTTTTTATTATTTATTTGACCGCACCCTCGACTAACTCCTTCTCATATACAGCACTCGATATACTTCGGCAAGAAACATTGATAATGCCAACTGAGGAGAGCTTCACAGAATCATGGAAGATTTTACAATTCCCTGAAAACACTTGGCATAAATTTAGAAGCCTCAGTTCGTTGGTTGACTACAGGAAAAATGATCCCAGAGACAGACTTAATACAAGAACAGGCAATGGCAACATCCTACAGGAAGTATATTCTACATGAAGCAGTCGATGACTGATGACGTATATGTAAAGCCACAAATGAATCGATTCAATATGTTACTTCTGGTCGCCAGGCATTAGTGGGTAAAGAATACCTTGCGTGGCACAATAATGCAGCAAAAATCGTGCATCAGACTCCGGCACAAAAATATAAATTAATAACAGGCCATCAGCCTTTTTATAGATATCAGCCGTAGGCTATATTAGAAAAAGGAAATGTCAAGCTATACTGGGATCAAACTATGATAACTGACCATAGTATTCTCCACAGTAGAGCAGATATACTGCTCGTTAATAAAGAAATAAAAAAGGCCATCATTATCAAAGTTGGGGTTCCTGCTGATGATAATGTAGCTAAAACATTAAGTGAAACAATTCGGAAGTATCAAGAGCTTTGCGAGGAATTAAGGCAGTTATACCGGCTGCTGGAAGTAAAAGTACTACCCATTATCGTATCCAGCAATGGCTTGATTCCTGAAGAGACTCTAAAATCAATGAAGCTACTTGGATTAAGCTGGGAACTTCAGGAAATCCAAAAAGTGGTAATGCTGGGAACCGCCAGCATTTTTTCGAATTGTTTTTAATATTTCAAATTAAATATTCAATATCGTCGTAAACCAACGACTTCCTGTCCTACAGTTTCCTTTAACAATACTCCACTTATCCCTGTTGAGCAAATCCGATACCTAGGACTCCACCTGGACAAACGACTAACTTGGAATCCTCATACTAGACTGAAACGACAAGAAACCGCTCGACGTTTCCGATTACTTCAGCACTTACTAGACAAACGCTCTAAACATCCCATTAATTACAAAAGACTCATATACTTGACTATAATAAGACCTATTTGGACTTACGGAGTTGAGCTATGGGGCTCCACTAAACCATCGAATTCCTCTCGCATCCAATCCTTACAATCCAAAATCCTTCGTAAAATCCTCAATGCTCCTTTGTCACTAATAAAATAATCCATAAAGATCTTAATGTTCCTTATGTTTCAGATCTGGCCCAATCCAGATACCTATCCTTCCATAATAAACTTCAGAGTCATCCCAACCCTCTCGTTTCTAACCTTGCTTCCTCTTCAATTCCTGATAACCCTCCGAGGCGTCTGAAAAGAAGATGGCCCCGTGATCTCCTAATGTAGTCATATCATTAGAGTGCTACCATTGGGTAGTTACTCAGCAAGTGTATTCATGTCATTATATCAATTATGTCCAAATTTACTTGATGTATTTATGTAATACAGTTGTAAATGTCATAAAGAAATTTAAAAAAAAAATATATATTCAATAAACTGTACCATTGACCTCGGTCCGGGTCAGTGAATTTATCCGGCATAAAGCTAAAAAATGTA